TCAGTAATCCCAGCCGGACTCGAACCTGGGCTATGGTAGTGCTGTGTATAATCTTGGCACGTTAACCAATAAGCTACGATGCCACGAATGTCCTCGGGCAGAAGTGAATTTCATAGTGAGATTGTATATGAAGCAAATTGTATTTGAAAAAGCAATCGACTACATTACTTATCTCCAGTTTATCAGTAGGTTTTTGAGAATACCAGTAGATCTGGTATAAGAACTGCCGTCAGCCTGGATGTGGATACCTTTTGGCGAGCCATGCCATGTGAAATTCAATGGAAAAATTTTGGGCCTAGTCATATTGTATGAAAATTAAACTACCATTTATTCACTACCTTAACCAAAATAGCGTGAACACAATTCTTATAGCAGACTTACTAGTATTCTCGAAAGCCCAATTATAAACCGAAAATAATTGTCATCTTTTCGTTATTTATAGCTTTGTTTGCTGCTATCTATAGCCTGATTGTTAAGAATGTTATTGCAGGTCAGCTGTTTTTTTTATTGTGCTGGTAACAGCACTCCCAACGGTAAAGTGAAGGCTAAATTATTACGCGTAGTTTCCTTTCACCATGTCTCCCGAAGGCGGTTTTCACCTACAGACTATGGTGTAGGTTTTCACCTTCTCTGGCCATCTCACGAAAATCCGAAGCGGGATTCGAACCGTGAATGTGTAGGCTCAGAATGGCATAGTAGCTGCCAGTCCAATAAAATACGGTTAAAATTTGTGGGCCTCAGTTGCGATAAAAGGAATTGTTGATTGGTCTTGCCAAAAGATGAAATACTGAGGTCATAGGCTTTAACAGTTCGTCGTCGAGATTACTGCATTATTTTTATATCGTTCTCCGTCTTGAGCAGTTATATGCCATATGACAGACACCTTCAGAACAAAAAGAAATTCTGGTATAAAAATAGTCTAAGCGGCTAAGAGGTTAAAGGCACAACCATGATCATCAGATGAAATTGGGGTGAAGATGAAATTGGATGACCGGAGAATGGAAGGGGAAAACCAATTTTAATCAAAAAGTTATAAACAAGTCGCCATGTATCTGAATTCATTGCAAGCGTTGCTATGGCGTACTTTTTTTTTACCGTTCGCGGCATGTTCACTTACAGCGTATACAAGACCTTGGGATTGACGATCGGTAGCTCATATGACCTCTGTTCGGGATGGAAGAAAGACCTTATCTCAACTTGAACTTTTTTCAGCCCTCGGGCGCTCTTCCAGCCCCATTGGGGCCTAAGGCGTTGGGTTGTTAGGTCATAAAATTGTTTCCAGCGATTTGTGATGCCTTACCGACAAGTTTGACCCTAGACTTCCGGCTGTGGTGTGTAATATGGGCATATGTGTCTCTTCGAGGCTGAGCTATGGCTTCTTTAAAACGAGAAGGAAAGGCCAAACTAGTCTTACTTTCTGTCTCTCCAAATCAGCTCAACTGGTACTTGTGCCCTTTAGATTTTTTTCTTTCCACTTGAAATCGGCTCAAATCCAGATTTGGACAGGCAGACACATACTCAGTGGGAAACTGGAGTAGACACACTTTTAAGGCAGATTCTGCTTTTTTAGCCTTAGCAACTATTCTGAACATTTAGTCGTCAGGGTCAAGTGGTAAAGCTAAAGAGGCGGGGCAGAGGCACAACTATGGCTGAGGCTGTGAGGATTTTTTCACTGTAACCACGAGACCCTGACATTATACACTAACCTAAAATGGGCAGCGTCAATCAAGCTGGAGTTATTTAAACAAATCAGTCCATTAGACACGTAAAGAATACCCACACGGCCACTCCCCACCCGACCACACGCATACAATGTATGAATATTTTTGCCCGTATACACATACAACGTACCCACGCACATGCAATCATACACACATGCACACGTATACAAAAGGATGTTTAGTCTTGATGCCAGGGAGCAGGCAACAATGGCTTTGACCCTAGTTCACTTAGGAACAAACAAAGGAATTGGAGAGAAGTGGTGATAGAGTGAAGGAGCTTCTTGTCATCCCCGTTATATCGTTTAACGAAAGCAGTCGCGGCTGGAGAACAGGTATCTTCTCCTCATGCACCCCAGACGGACTTGGATTCAAATGATTTGGCAGTTCCTATTGCGCACCGACTATTTCATGGGTCTTTCTGGCCAGCCACAAAATGGTCTTCCAAAACTTGCGAATAGGATGCCCTAAAGACTGATGCAATCCTCATAAATCAGCTGCATGCACATGAAATCACGTTTACACGACAAGAAGGAGTGAAGCAGAAGTTGTAAAAGAGGAGTGAACGAGACAAGACAAGGAAAATCCATATAAAACTAATGAGTCAACTATGAGTCTCCATGTGCCAGTGCCATGCTGTGTCGTATATCATCTCATGTCATTTTTATGTATATGATCAATTCCTTATTGTTAACTAAGCTGAGGAGTGGAAATTATTTAGGGCCGTCTGGGAAGGCTGGGGAGAATGTGATTCCGAGTCAAGTCGGCTAAGCGAGTTGGGTTTGCAAAAATCACCAAGTATGGATGTTATTACGGCTTGAACCATTAGCGTTTTCAACACTGGTATCCTCGATGAAGGTATATTAAGGTATAGGGATTTCAGAAGCATCTCTACCAAATTCTGGTCTCTCATTAATGATGATCCACGTTTGCGATTTGAAATTGTGTGTTTGTGTTGGTGCATGGGCTCGCTTTCGCCCGAAAAGAGGGAGGATGTCTCGTGGACCGCGTCAATGTGAGATCAGAATACGTATCTCTCATCAAGCCTGTTCATGTGAAATGAAAGACTCCACAAATTAGTTATATCAGAAAATTCATTGAAACCCACTTTTTTTCGAATACACAATTTGTCTGCTTTTCACAAAAATTATCAGACGGCAAAAGGTCGTCCTTCAGATTAGGCAGTCTTGATATTTAGGAGACTGACGAGAAATAAACAAGAAATAGGATATAAGAAATAGGAATATGAGCATATTCCCCAGCTTGATGGAATAATTGACAGACTAAATAAGAGACAAAAATATTTAAGCGTGATTTGCATGCGTATACTGAACTGGCTTGGTAGGATGATGGAAGAGATAAATCGGTCAAAAAAAGGATTCCATGGATCGGATTGTACTGACTGTATGTTTGCAAAGGATAAATGGGATCTCCCTAGGCCGTGCGAAACTAGGTGACAAGTTGATCCTGTTGCTGGCAAGATATGATCCTAAAGCAGACAGCAAAGTTTCCACAGACTATCTGCATTATTGCCCGTTGGCCCTAGAATAGGCGTCGGTGCTATCGAAGAGCGGGCCTTGCGGCCCGAAGGCAAGCAGCTAACACCCTTCGGAAAACATCGGCCCGCATCTTCACAGCTCGGCGTTGCCGGGTAATCCGGATTCACACTTCGAGCGACCTTTGCACCACCATCTGCATCTACAGCTCTCTGCTACTCGCTAGTGTTGGCAACTGCGCCAGTCGGGAGTCATTAGTCAACGCAAAACACACCAGCACAAATGTGTCGGCAGAATGGTGCATCTCTCCGTGGCATGACATAAAATGGCAGGCGCTTGCAGATTTTGGCACCAGTTCTGTCGGGGGGCTGATGATGGTGGTGAGACGGTTTGAGCAAACTAGGAAATATGGCCGGACATAAACTGATCATTACCAGCTGAAGCGAATAAAAACGGCCGAGCGACCAAGTGGCTTAAAAGCAGACGACCCTAAGCAAATGTAGGCGAGAAGAGGCGGACAAGCATGCTGCAAAGACCGGGGATATGTGTGTGTGTGTGCATTTAGGCCGAAAAGATAAAGGAGAATAGGTATACTTCGGCAGATGTCAGAGATAAAAGGATGCATATATAGGCGGGCGGATGAAAAGGTATTG